TATTAATTTGTTTTTTCCATTTATCAAATAGTTGTTTTTTATTAAGCTTTTTCATTTGTATGTTTTGAAATTTTCAGTGTTTTTGTATCAAGTTTAATAAAAAAATTAAATCAAAATTGTTTCATAGTATTTGATGATCTGTTTTCAATCATCTGACAATTCATTAAAAATTTCTAAATCTTTGTAATTATCATTTTTTTCTAACCATTTTTTTCGTTTTTCTAATATTTTTTTTATGCTATTGTTATTTTTTTGATCCATTCAAAATTCTCTTTATTTAGAGATCTATTTTCTTGTGTAAGAGGAAAGAGAATTGTTTGTTGAGCATGGACTTTCAATCTTTCTATTAAATCAGGTAAGTTGTTAGGTATAGGATCTTTAATTTTATACAATTCTTATATTTCTTTAACAAAATCGAGAGTGTGAGTATCAGTTTCTTGTTGAAATTTACGTCCGTTAATCAAACCCCAAAAATCATCCATGATTGTGTCAAAAGTATCAGCTTTGCCTCTGTAATCTCGTTTTTGTATAAGCCATTCTCTTATTCTTGTAACATGGTCTTCTGTAATTTCTACCTTTTCATACGGAAGTCTATAATCTTCTTCTGGAATAACAGGTGGAACGACGGGTTCAGATATTTTGTAATTTTTTTTTCCTGATTTCTTGTAAATCTGAGGTTTTTTTTCTTTTTAAATATTTATCATCCAAATATTTAATACTTTGATCAAAGTTACCCCAATCTTTAAAATCTTCTTTGTTTGTAGAAGCATTCATTCTATTTATAATAACCTGGTAATACACGATACTGTTTTCTTCATGTATGAATATGATTTTATCAATATATTCTATCATTTCTTGGGTATGAAATGATGATGGTTTTTTCATTATTTAATTTAAATTTAACAAAATTCAAATGGATCTCAAAATTTCTTAGGTAAAATTTTCTATCATGCGTTTTTGTATCGATGCTTGTTTGTTCGTCTTTTAATGAATTAATTTGAATTTGTTGATTAGTTTTACTGTAAAATTTGTTTAAAACGATGATTGAATTATCTAAAAATGTATTAACAATTTTGTCTAGAGATATTTTTTTCTCTTTTAACAAATGTTCATTTTTACCCAAAGCTAGAATATTTTCAGTCAATTTACCATGACCATACGAGTCGATGATAAAATCTTCAAGGTTTTTGATGTTGTTGATTTCATTTAAAACTTTATCGTAAATAATATCAATAATTTCACCAATTCTTCTCAGTATTTCTTTATCATAAAAAGCTAATTTTTGATTTGGGTTTAAAATTGTATTTGATCCAATTTCATTTGTTCTTATTTTATTTAATTCTTCCAAGGTAAAGATTCTGTTAATTCGTTCAACATACAACATGTAATGATCAATTAATTTCAATTCCTTGTTGATCAGGTCTGTTAAAATTTTAGAATCGTTTTCATACAAGTTATTAAATTTATTCTTGTAATCTTCAAATTTTTTCTTAATTTCTCTTGTCCATTCATTATTTAATTGGATTTCATTTAGATATTTCAAGAAATCGAGTCTTTTTTAATGAGATTCTTTTAATTCTTGTTTAAGGTCATTTGGAAAGTCTAATTTTAATTTTTCGTGATTTTATAATCAGGGATCTCATATTCTTTTAGGTTTTTGATTTCCTTGTTCAATTTAACAAATATCAAAAGATGTTCTAATCGTTTGGTTCGAAGTTAATGAAGTGATTTTTTATTTTTTTCACTTAAACATGAATCTTTATGTTTAATTTTTTTGTAGACTGTATTATTTGGTTCTAAATCAGATGGAACACGTGTTTTAGTGATTAAAATCTTAATATTTTCTAATATTTTAATGCTTTGATTCAATCTTGTTTGTTTTTCATTTTCCAATTTTGACAAAAGGTCGTTTGGTAAGTTAGCATTAAAATTTATTTTTTTATTAATATATTTTTTATCTTGTAATATTTCAATCATACAATCTAATGATGATAGGATGTTGTAATACATTTTTAAATATTTTAGTCTGGTTTTTCTGATATTTTGTAAATCATTATATTTAAAATTTAATTTTTCTTTATTTTTTTCAATTATATTATCATAATATTTATTTTCTTCAAGTGATTCGGTATTAATTGCATTTTTTATCTTGTTAAACAAATTCCAGATATCATCATAATCAATTTTTGCATATTTTGGTATTACATCAAAATATCCTTTAAAGATCAGATCAATCACGTTATTTGTAAATAGATCTAATGAGGGTTCCTGTTTAGACATAGATTTATAATAATAATTACAATCATAAAATATTTTGTTATCATAAATTAATGAAATGCAATTATGTAAACTCATGTTCTGGAATAGAGATTAACATTATTTTCTACGCACTTTTCTAGATTATTTATATTTTCGAGTTCGTCCTTACCATCATCACCTTTCCATTTGTATAATTCTAACATTTTTTTTACAGAAGCATTCATTTTGTCTAATTTATCTTTAGATTCGGCACCGTTATCTATTTCATTAAGTAAGGCTTCAAGAACTTCTGCATTTTTAGTAAGAAAACCAAATTGTGTAAATTTTTTTGATTCTTCTATATTTTTACGTATTTGTGTGGCGAATTCTGAACTATATTCTATTGGCATTTTAATAGATTTTTTCAGTTTTTAATTCTTGAATTTGCTTTTTTATATTATTTTCCAATTCATCGATTTGTTCTTTAGTTAAAAATTTTTTATCTTTATCTAATTTTTTTCGAATAATTCTAGTTTCCAAATAACTAATATATTTAGCATTTTTTATTTCTCGTTTAATAGCAAGAAAGGTAAAGATGTATCTGTATTGTGTTTTGAATAATTCATTTATAT